GATGCAGGCGGCGGGACCGCGGCGCATCTGGGCATCCTGCCACTCCCGTTCTCCGGGGCGAGAAAAACCCTGTTCATAACTGCAGATCCGACATAAGTCGGATCCGCGTAACTCGGGGACTGCCTGTATATGGGGGAGGGGAGAGTAAAATTTGTATTAAAAAAATACAACTAGTTGTTTTAATATACAAAGTGCAAAAGCTAAGAGAACACAGTTGAGCTAAAATTCAACATGGACAACTTGCTAAGGCTTCAACTGCACCAGCTTAAGATGAGAAAGAACTAAGGATGATGAGCATGCACAGTGCCATATAGCAACAGGCTGGGGCATGAATCTGAGTAACATGTTCTCACAGGCCAAATGGACACTGTTATGAGAAATCTCTGATCAAGGGCACAGGAGATGTAAGTGCACCTACTGTGGAACACTCGTATGGACACTACTAGAAAAGGAACATGTCTACTACAGATGGAACTGAAACCACCACCCTTTCCACATATGCAAGAAAACTGCTGTCAAATGGCAAAAATGTCCAAATTTGTCATGCTAGCTTCTATATAGTTCTCTGCCCAAGGAGATTGTTTTGCTCTTTCCAAGGGTATGCCTGGTTCTCCCAGATTCAGGACTTGGTTGTCACACTGGGAGGCAATCCCGGTGAGTGATGGACAGCTCCCGATGCATCCGTTACCATTGGGAATCTCATATTTCACAAAAGTGGAAATTCTGGCTGGTGTTAAAAGGTAGAGCCAGAAAATACAGGGAGATATTACTCCTTTTACTGGAGAACTTTGCGCCTCTATTATGATGTCTTTAAAAAGTTTCCATGCAGCTTGCAGGGATTTGGTTCTAGTCATTGTGCCTTTTAATTTCCGTTTAACTAACCTCCTCATTTTTGTGTAATTCCCCTTTTTTAAATTAAATGCCAGAGTGCTGGACTGCTGAGGTGTTCTTTCCACCACAGGAATGTTAAATGTTGTTATATTATGGTCACTATTCCCAAGCAGTCCTGTAACGGTTATCTCCTGGACCTGATCCTGCGCTCCACTCAGGACTAAATCAAGAATTGCCTCTCCCCTTGTGGGTTCCTGTACTAGCTGTACCACTGGGGCTCTCAGACTGGAGGTGAGACAGTACTACAGTGTCCCGGAAAGTCTCATCAGCGTAGCTCTCTATCTCTCTTAGCTCCTCCAGTTCAGCCACTCTGGCCTCCAAAGCCCGAACTCAGTCTCTGAGGGTCAGGAGCTCCTTGCAACGGGTGCACACATATGCCACCCGCCCACGGGGCAGGTAATCATACATGTGACACTCGACGCAATAAACAGGATAGCCCCCACTCTGCTGCTGGGCTTCTGTCTCCATTTTTCCTATGAATAAGTTTAAGTCTAAACTGGGCTTATTAAATGTCTGGAATATAGATTATAAAAGTTATGTTTAAAGAAGGTCAGAAGTCACTAGTGCCCTCTAACCTCCCCCTCTAAACTCTCTCTCCAAACTCCCTGTTAGCTGCTCCTGTTCGCAAGACACTCTTCTACCCCTGTGTGCTACAGAATAAGGATGTAAAAAGTCAGTTAAAAAGTTAACCATGTAACCACTAAAAATTTTAGCAGTTACATTGTTACATACACTGGGCTTTGCAGTATAAAGGTTAAATAAGCTTTATACTTCAGAGGTTGCAGTAAAGCCACGTCCCTGGGAGCTGTCTCCGCTGCCAAAGTGAAGCCACTTCTCTGGGAGCAGGAGATGGCAGGGGCTGCAGATCCCCCTCCTGGGGAGTCATCGCATCAGGCTCTGTAGCTAGCTCCCTGGGAATGGGGCAGAAGCCCCTGCTGGCCCCACTCCTGCAGAGCCGGCTGCTGGGACCCAGTGCATACCTGGAAGGAAGCTTCCGGCTCCTAAACTCTGGCACCCAGTTACATATGCTTTGTAAAGAATACTACCTACTGTATCAGAAGGTTATATCCCTGTCCTTTTGTGTTTTCCTTAATGATGCCGAAAACTTTTGCCTCTGGAAGAACAGACTAACAGGCAATATGCAGGTTATTATACAGTGTCTCAAAATCCATTTTGGAGAGTAACCAGATATGGAGTTGAGCTTTCAAAAGTACATTTTGATCCCTGTGCAACAGCTGGAATTCATAGGGGCTCATCATAACTCAGTAGCAAGAGCCTACCTCCCAATGCACAGATTTATATCCCTGTTCAACTTAGTCAATATGATTCAGATCAGACCTCAAATGCCAGTCAGGAATTATCTGTAGCTTATGATTGCCATCACTTTCATTATTGATTACACATGACCATGCATGCAGTGTCTTCAGGAATGGCTCAGGACAGTTTATTCACAGAGCAGATACAGCTCAAATATACTGCTTTCTGTACCCACTTCTGTAAAGGAATCTCTCAGCATGTGTGCTAGATTCAGATCAGACCTCAAATGCCAGTCAGGAATTATCTGTAGCTTATGATTGCCATCACTTTCATTATTGATTACACATGACCATGCATGCAGTGTCTTCAGGAATGGCTCAGGACAGTTTATTCACAGAGCAGATACAGCTCAAATATACTGCTTTCTGTACCCACTTCTGTAAAGGAATCTCTCAGCATGTGTGCTAGAGT